AGGAGTTTCTACAGCAAAAAAAATGAGCAGACAGACTAAAGGTAACGGTGCCGGCTAGTGGGTTAGATATCTGTAATTTCAGCACTAGTGAGACCGAGGCAACGAAGACCAATTGTTCAAGCCAATGGAATATACAACATTGCAGACCAGCCTGAACTATGTGAGAACCTGTTTGGAGATGAGAAGATTGGGGAGAAGAGGAAACAAAAACAGATGGAGAGCTGGAGGTAGCTACACCAAAAACAAAACAAAACAAAAAGCAAGATAAATCAAACAGTACTAGGGTAGTTTTTAAGCAAACAAGGACCAAGAAATCACAAAAGAATATGAAATAAACAACATGGCAGGAGCCAGCACTAGCTCTTCAATAATAACTGAATATTAGTGGTCACAATCTCCAAACAAAAGTAATATGCTAGCAGATTCCATTGGTAAGCAGATCTATCTGTATTGATCTTTCTGTATTTTCCAATCTACTGGGAATATGTCTCAAAATTCATGTTAGGTGAAGGGATGGAATAAAACATTTCAAGCAAATGGAACCAGAAATCAGGCTGACATTAATCTTATAATATTTGACAATGTAGAATTCAAACCAAAAGCAATGAGAAGAGACACTAAGGTAACTTTTTACTGAGCAAAAGAAAAACCCATCAAGAAGAAACCCATCAAAAGTGAGTGCATGCAAGTCCATAAATTAAACTATTGGGTATAATTGATGATTAAATCCAAGATAGTAGTAGACGGTAATTTCAATATCCCACACTTACTATAGGATATGTCATTGGAGAAATACTAAAGTAAATCATAGATCAAATAGACATAATTGGCCTCTATAGAATATTCCATCCACATACTACAGAAGGAGCATTTTTAGCAGTCTGTAGAACTTTCTCTAGAGTAGACCACATACTGAGATACAAAGCATCTTTTAACATATATAAGAAAATTGAAATAACTTCTTTAACCTATCTGACCATACTGGATTAAAATTCTAAATCAACAGTAAAAGAAACTACAAAAGTTTCAACTTTTCAAAACTTATGAATACAAGGAATGAATAAAAGTTTAGAGATTTAAGTGCCTACATGTAAAAAATTAAAAGTTCAAATAATAAAAATGAAAGAAAACTCAAATAAATTACTTAGTGAGGCACATTAAAGTTTTGCTAAAAATAAATAGTTAATTTATTAAAAAAACCAAAGGAGTAAATGGGAAGATATTATTAAGATCAGATCAGAATTAATAAACTAGAAATTAAAAGTAGTTCAAAGAGTCAGTGACATGAATTCAAAGCAGGACTGCACAATGTGTCTCTCATGTATGTGATATTGCAATTTCCCCTGAATTAAAGCTTTCCATACTAAAAGGAAGTTCTTTAAGACTCAGAAAGATCTAAAAGGAAACTCAGTAAGTCTCAAGAATAAATATCTCCAAAGTCTCAGGAAGCTCCTCAAACAGAACAGGGCACAAAACTCTTCTTTCTCTAAGTTTATAGAAGTAGCAAGGACTGTTGAGGAGATAGTCCAACTGAGATGCCTACAAAAGAGTCTTCAACCTGTGTAGCCTACAGGTCATGCAAAGAGTTTCAAGGTTCCAGGTTATATGAGTCATCACCCATGTCATAGAGGGCTTTCAGTGACATAGCTCCCTCTGAGTCATCACCACTCTCACCTGTCCTCCTGTATGTAATTCTAATAAGGTCATTGGTTCAATAAACTGGATGTTGATGGTGACATCACTTCAGTTTTCCCTTTTATCCATACATGAAAAGATACAGTTTTTGACATCTCCCTGGGAAATATGTCACACAACAATGTGGTTATCTGTGGTGGAAGGGGCTCTGCAATGATGCAGTGATTTGAGGGTCATGTATACTCCTGGAGTTACAGCCACATCCTTCACAGGTATTTATTTAAAAAGATTTATTTATTTATGATGTATACAGGGTTGTGCCTGCATGTATGCTTGAAGTCCAGTAAAGGGCACCAGAACTCATTATAGATGGTTGTGAGCCACCATGTGGTTGCTGGGAATTTCAGGACCTCTGAAAGAGCATTCAGTGTTTTTAACCTCGGAGCCATCTCTCCAGCTCTTCCAAGAAGCTCTTTTTTTAAAAAAAATGATAATTAAAACTTTATAGCTGTTCATAGGTTTGTGGGTTAATATCTGGGTCTTCTATTCAATTCCATAGGTTGACTTCTCTGTTCTTATGCCAATACCAAGCTGTTTTCAATATTGTAGCTGTGTAATAGAGTTTGAAGTCAGGGATGATACTGCCTCCAGAAGTTCTTTTACTGTATAAGATTGTTTTGGCTATCCTGGGTTTTTTGTTCTGCCATATAAACTTGATTATTGTTCTCTCAAGGTCTGTGAAGAAGTTTGATGGGATTTTGATGGGGATTGCATTGAATCTATAGATTGCTTTTGGTAGAATTGCCATTTTTACTATGTTGATTCTCCTAATCCAAGAGCAGGGGAGGTCTTTTCATTTTCTGGTATCCTCCTCAATTTCTTCAAAGACTTAAAGTTCTTGTCAAATAGGTCTTTCACTTCCTTGGTTAGAATAACCCCACGATATTTTATGCTATTTGTGGCTATCATGAAAGGTGATGTTTCTCTGATTTCCCTCTCTGCTTCTTTATCCTTTGTGTATATGAGGGCCACTGATTTTTTGGAGTTGATCTTGTATCCTGCCACGTTACTAAAGGTGTTTATCCGCTGTAGGAGTTCTTTGGTAGAGTTTTTGGGGTCACTTATGTATACTATCATATCGTCAGCAAATAACGAAAGTTTAACTTCATCCTTTCCAATATGAATCCCCTTGATCTCCTTATGTTGTCTTATTGCTATTGCTAGAACTTCAAGCACTATATTGAAGAGGTATGGAGAGAGTGGACAGCCTTGTCGCGTTTCTGATTTTAGTGGAAAGGCGGATTCTAACCTTAATTAAAGGTCTTTGAGCCTATTATTCATGATCCTAGAGAAGCTAAATAAGAAGATGAACCTGATGAAGAGTATTTAGCTATCCACCAGGAGGTAGGAAATAGACAAGAGTCCCAGGTAACCTCGGGTGCATGGGGGGCGTGGGAGGGTTGTTGGAAGGGGAGAGGGTTAGAGAGAAGGGAGTAGGGGAGGAATGGGGAAAGCTCGGTGGACCGGGATGGGGGGGAGGGAGGAAGGATGAATATGGGATCAGGGAAGAATATATTTCAACTAAGGGAGTTATTTTAGGGTTTGCAGGAGACTTGAATATATATGGGATCCCAGGTCTAAGGAGAGATCCCCAGATTGTTCTCTGGACAGAGGAGAGGGTGCCTGCACTGGCCTTGGCCCATAACCATACTGATGAATATTTTGCTTATCACCATAGATCCTTCATCTGGCGAAGGATGGCGATACAGACAGAGACCCACATTGGAGCACCGGACTGAGCCCCCCAAGGTCCAAATGAGGAGCAGAAGGACGAAGAAAATGAAAAAGGAAATAAGGACTGCGAGGGATCCTATAACCCACTGATACAAGGGGACGGATCTAATGAGAGTTTACCAAAGCCAGTTGGACTGGGACTGAACGAGGACGCGATCTAACCAGATTCTCGGAATATGGCCGGATTCTCTGAACGTGGCTGGCCCAAAGTCTTTCTGAAAAGCCATTGATTATGACACTGGGACTTGTTTCCTCTGTATATACTGGATTTTGGGGATCCAGTCTGTTTGGATACTCACCTTCCTGGACCTGGAATGAGGGGGGAGGGGAACTAGAACTTCACACAGGGCAGGAAACCCTGACTGCCCTAAGGGACGAAGAGGGAGGAGGAGAGGGAGTGGGGGGAGTGGGAGGGTGTTGGGAAAAGGGGCGGAAATGGAAACTTTTATAATTTAATAAAATTACTTTCAAAAAAAAAGATGAAGATGCAGATGGTAAAAAAAAATAAATAAAACTTTATAGCTAAGAAAAATAATGTGGAAATACAAAGTTCTTATTTTTTTAAACAGTAACATTTACAAATCCCTTTCTGTGGCCCAGTTCCAAGTATTAGATGTTTCTGTTTATTATTATGTGGAAAATATAATTATTAAAGAAATATGTAAGATTCCCAATGGTTAGATTGAAACACAAAAAACTAGGTTTTGAAAATAAAAATTATAATACAGTTCAGATAGTTTTTAAACTTTTTAGGGTAAGTTATATGATAAATGGGATTTGCCATAAATTATGAAGGTGGGTAGATAAAAAGTACAGATGAAAGCACACAATGTTGAGTTGCCAAATCTGATTGATGTGCCAGTGGGTGTTCACTTTTCTTATTTTGTTTCCTTCCCATCTGAAATTTTTTATAATAACTAACTTTCAAACTCCAACGTAGAGGTTGGACAGACAACACTGTGATTAAGAAGGCTTCTTGTTTTTTCAAGTGACCCAAGTCTGGTTCCAAGCGCCCATGTTGGACAGGTCATGACCACCTGTAACCTCAACGTCAAAGGATCTGAAGTTGTGATAGCAAAAATTTGTGTACCCTGAACCGAGAGCCAGAGAAGTCCCTAACTTTCTGCCTATTCTTCTCTATAAATAATTTAAATTCTATGCTAACCCTACTGACAAGCAAGAGGTCCAATAAGACAAACAGGAGCATGACAAGATGAGTACTTTCTGAAAACCATCTTAGAGTGCACCTCTCAGAAAGTGACCAGCAGTCGAAAGTGAGGTAATTCAAGGTTAATTAGCATAGTAATGTAATACACAAGAGAAACAAACTTGATAACTTGTTAACAAAACTAGACACTTATAATTTTTATATCAAGCAATCAACCTCAATGTCCAATAGGTGGCGACAATGCCTTTCACATAGCTTCAGTGGCTGTAGACTGCAGATGCAATAGCAAAGATAATCCTGTATAGTCCAGTTGGAGCTTTGTTTTAGAGTAAATGGTTTATTTGTAATCTATTAGGGCCATGCTATATAGGTTTATTAGGATGTCTAACGGGTATATGTAAGTTTTCCTTTTGGTATATCTGTGTGTCTGGATATGCATGTACAAGTTCCCATGCAGCCAGAAGACAGCATCAGATCCCAGGAACTTCTTATGAAGCATTTTCTGAAATGCTCCCACATCTGTCCACAGGTATCTTGCAGTGGCTACTGCACTCACCAGTTTCACGTTCTCTCACCAAGTCTATTCATGAGAAAGAAGAAAAAGTCTTTCAGTGTCTCTCACCTTCTTGCTGCAAGCAGAGTGTGTAAAGACTATCCATATATATCAGAGACTTTCTCCCATGAGCCCTTCCATTATTCTGTATCAGAGGTGCAAGAGGACAGCTAACATTGAAACACAAGATTTTAGCTCTGAAGGAGATTTCACCCATTATTGTTTACTGCTAGAATCATTTTGATGGGAAAGTAGCATAGATTTCTGAATGGTTTGTCTCCTTGTCTTAGAGATAGAGTTATATCAAATACCTTAAGTCAAAGATATATATCATATCACCAAGAGTAGATGTTTTGAGTATCCATGGTAAAATGGTTTTTTTTTCGGGTCAATATTTGGGCTACAGGCTTGAAGAGGCATCAAGGAACATGGTTGGAATTTCTATAGGACTCTGGATTTCACAGGGGCTAAGTGGAATGTAAAACTGATTTAGAGAAGTTTGTGTATCCTTGAACATGAGTCACTGAGGAAGCTCAAAAGAGTTGCTAAACTAAGTTACTTAGGAACAGGGATAAAGGGGTAGAGTATGTAGAGAACAAATAGAGGATGCAGTCAAGAAATAAACTAAATCCCCACATATTAATTAAAACTAAACACACACACACAAACACACATTAACACACACTTAACTTCAACATGATACAACTAGAGTAGATAGCACTTCGCTATCAAAGAACAAGAAACCAGGATGGTGATGTGGCTCATGTGTAATGATGCTTTCTACCAAACCTGACAACATAAACTCAGTTTTCAGGACCACTTCTTAAGAACTGTCATCTGCTTCCACGTGAATACTGTAACTCATATGTGTGAATTCATATACAGACCCACACAGTAAATAAGTCGATAAAAAAAATTATAAAAGAACAATCCACCAAATGAAGAGCATGGCAGCTTGACTATTTGTTCACAAGTTCAAGATGTCACCAAATAGACATGCACTGGGTGAGGGAGAAATGACCACATGCTTGGAATTGGAGAAGTCTCACATCATCACATCCATTGCTGTCTCTGTAAATTCTTTCAGTTTTGTTACAGAATTTAAAATTTGTTTGCGTATTGTTGTGATTTTTCATTATTTAAATTTTTAAATGAGTTTTTCCATACACTGTATTTTTATAATTTATTTTTACTTTTTAATTCATCATTTTTATTTGTTTTATATATCACTCACAGTTTCCTATGGTTCCTCTTCTCCTGTTTTCTCCCCCATCTCCTTCCACTTTCCCATCTGTTCCTTATCTATTTCCATTCAAAAAAAAAAAAAGGCCTCCCACAGGAGCCAACAAAGCATGTGACATCAAATTGAGGCAGGACCAAGCTCCTCTCCACCTGCGTCAAGGTTGAACAAGGCTTCAACCATAGGAAATAGAATCCAAGGAGCCTGCTCATATTTGGGACTAGTCCTGCTTCCACCTCCAGGGTCCCAACAAAAGACTAAGCCACACAATTGTCACCCAGATACAGAGGGCCTAGTTCAGTCTCATGCTGACAGCCAGCTGTCCATGAAGAGTCTGTGAGCCCACACCAACACAGGTCTGCCGTCTCTGTGTTTTTACCAATCATGTTCTTTTTTACTTTTTTTTTTCAGACCACTTGGAAAATGTTAGCATTTAATTTGCCTTCCTGAGTGGCTTCAAGCCTCCAGAACACAGGCACCTCCAACACCCTTTATCTTCTCTTCAGCTCTTCTGCTGAAAAATTTGGCTTTCACGATGACAGGCTGCTTAGGGAGCTTTCCCTTGCCCAGAACTTTGTAGCAGCCTGATCGCACGACGTCAATGATGGGGGCAACTCCAGTCTTGTTCTTGGCAACGTTAACCCGGGTCTGCTCACTGACCAACATCCACAGTTTATCCAGGTTGACAGTAGGGCAGAAGCTCTGGTTCTTCTTTAAGCGATAATTTTTGAGACAAGATTTCTCTGTAGCTTTAGAACCTGTCCTGGAACTAGCTCTTGTATATCAGGCTGGCCTTGAACTCACTGAGATCCACCTGCCTCTGACTTCTGAGTGCTGGGATTAAAGGCGAGTGCCACCATTACCCAACATCAATTGTGTTCTTAACCACTCCTTGCTCATATAATCCAGCTACCTTCTCTTCAGCTTGACGCCCAGAGCTCAATCCAGTACTTGCTTGTGGATCTCGGCATCCGGTTCCATGAGATACTGAATGGAGGCTCCATAATGACAATTGGGTGATTACAGGGGAAGGTCAGTTCGATCACCCTCTATGTCATTTCTAGGAGTCTCATCTGGAGTCACATTTGAGGGATTCTGGGGAGTTTCCCTGGCACAAGATTTCTTCCTAATCTCATAATGGATTATGAGATCCATTTATCAATTTATCTCTTTCATTACTCTCTCCATTCTTCTAGCCCCCAACTTGACTATGCTGATCCCTCATGTTCCCATTCACCTATACCTTTTCTACTCTCCACCCCTGCACCAAATTTACCCAGCATTCTCATTTATTTCCTCTTCCCAAGAGTTCCATGTGTCCTTCTTAGGATCCACTTTGTTTCTTAGTTTCTCTGGAGCTGAGGTTTGTAACCTGGTTATCCTTTTCTTTATATCTAATATCCACTTAGGACTGAGTACATACCAGTATTTCTGGGTCTGAGTTAGCTAACTCAGGATAAAATTTTTGTAGTTCCATGCATTTGCCTGCAAATTTAATGATATCATTGTTTTTTTTTCTAATTCCCACTTTCTCTTCTATTAGTTTCAGTGTAACTGGATTTATGTTGACGTCTTTGATCTACTTGGACTTGAGTTTTTGTAAGATGATAGATGTAAATCTACTTTCCTTCTTCTACATGCTGCCATCCAGTTATGCCAGCATCATTTGTTGATGATGGTTTCTTTTTTCCATTGTATATTTTTGGCTTCTCTATCAAAAATCAGGTGGTCATAGGTGTATGGATATTTGCCAGGGTCTTTGATTCAATTTCACTGATCCACATGTTGGTTTTACACCAATACCAAATTGTTTTTATTACTATAGCTCTATAGTAGATTTTGAAGTCAATAAAAGTGACAATTCCAGAAGATCCTTTATTTTACAGGATAGTTTTAACTCTTCTGAGTTTTTGATTTTCCATGTGCTGTTGGACATTATTCTTTTGAGGCATGTGAAGAATTGTGTTGGGATTTTGATGGGGATTGCACTGAATATGTTGATTGATTTAGGTAAGATTGCAATTTTATTATGTTAGTTCTACCAATCGAATAGCATTAGAGATCTTTACATTTTCTGATCTTGACCCCAATTTCTTTCATCAACAGCTTAAAACTCTTGTCATACAGGTTTTTCCCTTTTTAGTTAGAGTTATTCAAAGACATTTTGTATTATTTGTGACTACTGTAAAGCATATTGATTCCCTGGATTTTTTTCTTAGCCCATTTATCATTTGTATATAGGAGAGTTATTGGTCTTTTTTTGAGTTTATCTTGTATTCAGCCATATAGTCAAAGTTGTTTATCAGCTGCAGGAGTTCCCTGGCATAGTTTTTGGGGTTACTTACGTGTGCTATTATATAAAAGTTTGACATCTTTTAATTTGTATCTCTTTGATCTCCTCTTGTTGCTTTATTGTTCTAGCTAGTACCTCAAGTACTTTATTGAATATGTGCAGAGTGAGCAAACAACTGTGGCTTGTTATTTTTATTTGTGTGCATTGGTGTTTTGCCTCCATGTATGTATGTATGTGAGTGTTGGGTTCCCTGCTTCTGGAGTTACAGAAAATTCTGAGCTGCCATGTGGATACAGCAAAATGAACCCAGAAATGTCCTCTAGAAGAGCAGCCAGTGCTCTTAACTCCTGAACAATCTCTCCAGCTCCATTCAACACATTTTAATCATATTCTTTCTCCTCTCCCAACTCATTCTCACCTCCACAACGACTCACTTCATCTTCTTTTCCTTCCAAAAACAAAAAATCAAAATCAAAATAAACCTAAAAAACAAACAAACAAAACAATGGAATGAATGTAGTGGCATTTCTATTACATTTTAATGAATAAAGACTGTCTGAAGATTTGAGAGTAAAACAGTTCCACTGTTCAGCCTTATAGACTAGGTTATGGTAACACACACTTTTAAATCCAGTTGTGCCAATGACATGCACCTTTAATCCTAGTATAGTTACCATAGAAACTGAGTGGAGCATGCCTTTAAATTAAGTGGTGCATGTCTTTTAATCCCATCCCTAGAGAGAAATATAAGACTGGGGGGAGACAGTTCTCAGACAAAGTCTCATTCTGAGATTCCAGAAGGCAGGATCACAATTTAAGCCAGAGGTCAAGGTAAGAGTCAGTGACTGGCTGTTTTGTTTTTCAGATCTTCAGTTTGAACCCCAATTTCTCACCCTGAGTTTTTAGTAATCGTGCTTCATTTGGTGCCCAGCGTTTTGGAATACAAATTCATGAAAATGACATTTTCCTGAGGCTTTTTATTCACCAGTCCAGGTTAGAGTTGGGATTGGAATTACAACTTTAGGAGATGGACACAAACCTAGCCTCTTGAGTTCTGGAGAAAAACTAGCAGCCCGGTTCCTATCTACCCCAGGTTAGCTTCCATGCAAAGATAGAAAATACACAGAGAATTTGTATACTGTATGTTATTGTGTTGTTCTTTGAATTGACTACTGAGAAAGGAGCAACAGTTGCTAAAAGACATTTGATTATTAATGCTTTTGAATTAGTCCAACTTATATATGTTGAAAATGCCTCGACTTCAAAATTTAAGTCAAAAGACAGGTTATTTGGAGAAGAAGTTTTGCTTTTGTTTCCACAGGAAATGAGAAGTTTTAGATTCATTTTTGGTTAAGAAAAATATGTTTTATTGGTTGGGGAGTCATTCTTGGAGAAGAAAAATAAGGTTTGATCAAGAGAACTGTTAGAGTTCTCTCATGGGACAGATGACATAGATGATCCAATGTTTCAGAGCACATTTGTTTCAGTTTTGTTTGAGTTTTACATCCAGCACAGATTCAAGACTGCTGGCGTAAACAATCCAACCTTGTATAGTGGTTCAGTAAAGACTTGACCATAGCCCTATATTTTCACTGGGTCCCCATAAGATTATCAGCACCCCTAATTAGCAGGAAGTAGCCTAGAAAAATAAGCCACATTCCCATAAAGTGGATTATAGACTTTTATTTTTGTTTAATGTGTTGGTTACAAGTTATTATGGATAATGATCAGGAAAAAAAAGCTAAGCAAAGGAAATTAGATTCAAAGCTCTTGTTTTGAAAAAATAAAAAGGCCAGGCAGTGGTGACTGAGGCCTTTAATAACAGCACTAGGGAGGTAGAAGCAGGCAGATCTCTGTGTGTTCAAGGTAAGACTGGTCTACAGAGCAAGTTCTAGGACAGGCTCCATAACTACTGAGAAGCCCTGTCTTGAAAAACTAAAACAAAAGCAAAACAAATAAAAAAGGAAGAAAAGGAAAAAATAAAGGAAAAGAAAAAAGTGAATCTACTCTGAAAAGGAAAAGGGAGAATATAGATATGATAAGATAAAAAGGTAAATTACTGAATCTACTCTTTAAAAGCAACTATTAGTTTTAGTTGTTTTACATTGGTTTTATTTTGCATATTGTATACAATTTTTATATATTGATACAAATTTGAGATTAATTTTCTTAAAATATACTGATTATACACTTCTAATCTTGTTCAAAGTATTGTACCTATACAGTTAATTTAATAATATAATGCAAATTTCTGATCCTTGAAAACATTTATTACCAACTGTTTAGGATAATAAAGAAATATAGATTAATAGTTAATCACCTAATATAATTGAGCTTGTAGTCACATCAGGTATGTTTTCAAGGTCACACAAAGATAAAATTTAAATGGATAGTTGACCTTCAAGTATTTCAGAGATCTACAGAATATGGTATTTAGATGTTTTGATAACCTATGTTCTTCTTTTTATGACAGTAAGATATGTCTGCTCCTGGCAGCACCAATCTACTTCAGAGATGATAATGGGCATCAAAGAAAGTTCACTCTTTTGTGGCAAAATTAAGCCACTTGGCAAGAAAATGCCAATGACTCAACTGCTGACAGTATGCTGTCCCCACTAGGTAAGCAGGACACAAATTATCTTGCTTTGCAGAAGAGTCTGTGGATTATGCTAGGCCTGTAGGCTGAAGATGGATGCCACAATGTTGCAGAGAAACTTTGGGTGACTGTCCAGGAAGCCAGCTGTTTCTTTCATTACTCACATCTTTTGGAAGTTACTTCCTTGTCCTTCCTGCTTACTCAATTAATATTATTTCTTGCTTGGTTCTCCAAGGGAGTTGAAGATTAGTTAACTATAGCTATAGTTTACCAGACACAGAAAGCAAGTTATGATAGAAAGTAAATTAGGTGTAAGACTTTGAACTCAGCAAGATAGGATAGATATAAAATATTTTCTCTGAATTTGTCAAAAGCAAATGGACTAGACGCTGCTGATGTATTTATTGCTTGTATATATTATATATAATCATTGTTCTTAATGTGCTTAGTTTTCTTACATTAGTATAACCTTTTTATTTTTGACAAAAAAGGGAAATGTAGTGGCATTTCAATTGTATTTTAATAAATAAAGACTGCCTGAAGATCTGAGAGTAGAACAGCTCCACTGGTCAGCCTAAGAGACAAGGTTATGGTAACACAGACTTTTGTTTTCAGTAGCCACCACAATAAGCACCTTTAATTACAATAGCCACAATGTGATGAACCATTTATCCTAGTAACTACATTAGTTACCATAGAAATTGGATGGTGTATGCCTTTAATCCCAGTGGTGCAAGCCTTTAATTCCAGCCCTAGATAGGAATATAAGATGGGAGAGTGATCTCTCAGACATAGTCTCACTCTGAGATTCTAGGAGGCAGGTTCACCATTTAAGACTGAGGTTGAAGTAAGAACAAATGGCTGGCTGTTTTCTTACCCTGAGTTTTTATTAATTGTGCTTCAGAAGGACTCTATGGTTTTGTGTGAGCATGCATTTTGTTTATGCTTTTTTCTTTTAGTTGCAGATTTTATACCTTTACCAATGTTAGAAAAATTTGGGAGAGGAAACAGTGAGACATATCCCACAATTTGCAGTCACAAGTCTACTTTACATTAATGATGCCACCTTAGATCAAATTCCATTATATACCCACAGGTGGGTGTCTTCATCTGCAGTCTTAGTAATGATAATAGATAATGTTCTTTTCTATGGTGGCTGCATTACATTATAGATGGAAAAGTCATTAAAGACCACTGTAGCCCTGTGTTAAATAAATGCTGTGTTGGCATTATCAGCTTGATAGGCGAGTTCAGCCAATCACATTCTGCTTGTGGGGCGTGTCGCCCTTAGGCTAAAGTTTACCCATAAACCTGGCAAGTGCACTTCCTCTAGCTCTCTCTCACCTGGCTCCTGGATTCTGGTGTAAGCTGGTGTAAGTTTTACTTCTGTTTATTAAAGCTGTTTATTTTGTATTAAGATAGTCTGGGGACTTTTCATTACCGATCGCCCTGCGGCATCATCAGCTGTGTTGACTATGTCCCGTTTCTTAGTGTCCAGTCAGACTACAACAATAAGCATTCATTGAGCTATTTGAGATTTTAACCTAACTATGTAAATCACTAAATTATATAACCCATCTAATCGGTGGTGGATTAGATATTAAGGGCACCATACTCTTCTCAGCAGACCTGAACTTGGTTCCCAGTTCTCTCGTTGGGCAGCTCACAAATGCCTGGAACTGGACATATAGAAGTATCTGAGGTCTTTACAGTGTTCCCGTCAATTCCATCTATGTTCACATGCCCACACACTAACATACATACAGATTATTTAAAATTAATAATTAAAAATCAAATTCAAGCCAAGCAGTGACGATGCACACCTTTAATCCCAGCATGTCTGGATTCCTCCAGGGGTTGATGACCTCATTATGTTGTCCTTGAAATAAATGGAATTGTTCCTTTTAGATTCTGTGTAGAGTTTTTCAAAACTCCTCAATATTGGAAACAAATATTTTGTTAGAATTATCTTCACATTTTACTTAAAATAGTGCCCCTTGGGTTTGAACTAAACAAAAAGAACACTGCAAGCAGTGTCATCATATATAATGTCAAGATATTCTAAAGAAAATGGTAATAAAAAGCAAGATCAAAGTTCAGACAGCTACAGCCCCATGATTTTCTACAAATAAGACAAATATATATGTATATTTGTTATATATAACAAATATATATATGTTATATATATATATATATGCATGTACTAGATAAAGACTGTCTCTTCAACAAATGGGATTACATCATCATCAGTTGGGGCATGGGTAATCTATCACTTTACCAGTGACCAAACATCCCCCATAATGACTTTCTATCAAGCACAATTATCAGTTTCTAGTAACTCCTTAGCTAGAGGTAAAATTGCAGGAAGCAGTTTGGAGAGAACTATGCCCAAATTCCCTAAATGATTGTTTATAAGTGTTTGTTTACATTTAAAGGGGGATATGCTATAGAGAAGAATACCCTGCATTGGTATGGATCTTGGTTTATTGATAGAAATTTAAGGTCAGTTTTGTTATATGTATAATTCTGCTCTTGTTTAAGGTATTGTGTTTGTGCAGATCATCTAAAATATAATTTATAATTATGAAGTACAGATTAATATAGTCATTTATGATAGTGACGCTTGTAATCCTGTTAGATTTTCTATATGTACAGAGATTTATTTCATAATATATAATTATTCTTCAAACTTTTCAAAGACTAACAAATTATGGCATTTAAAATGTCTAAGAAATTAGAACTTTTCTTGAGAATGAGACACATTTGCTTCTGACAGCACCAATCTACTTCAAGGGGAAGATGGGCATCAAAGAGGCTCCTTCTGGAATTTGTTAGATATTTGAGTAAAAAACTACTATTGACTGGATTGCTTGATGGTATGCTGTTTGAACTGGACTTGCAGGACCCATAGAGAAATGACTACTGAACTTACCTAAAGGTGAGACAGTCCTTCGGAGTTCTTGCTTCATGAAAGAGATTTCCAAACATTTGGCAGGACACAGAAAAAAGTAACTGACAAACTGACAATATAGTCAAATTATCTTTGAAATTTCCAACTTCATGGAAAAGTCTGCCAGAAACTATGGGCCTATGGCCTGAAGATGGATGCTCCAATGTTACAGAAGAACTTTGGGTAATTGTCCAGGCAATGAGATGTCTCTGTAAATTCTAGAATTTGGAATGTTGCTTAAAATGCACTTTCTGTTAACTTAGGTAATATTATATTCTTCTGGCATCTTTGATGGAGTTGAAGAATAGTTATAGTTATAGTTTTCCTTAGTTATGATAAAAGAAAAACTAGATATAAAACTTTAGACTCACAAAGATAGGATAGATAATAGAGGATTTTCCTTAATTTGCCAAATAAAAATGGACTAAATATTGTAATTCTTGGGAGTTAACTGTTTTGTTATATGTCATCTTGCTATGTTAAAGTTAAAACCTTCTTTGTATTTAGACAGAACAAGGGAGGTGATGGAGGACTTCCCTCTAAATGCTATGAATACATTTTATTGCCATTAGTTAATAAAGAAGCTGCTTTTAGACAAAAGCTTAACAGAATATAGTCAGCCTGGAAGATATCTATCTCTATCTCTATCTCTATCTCTATCTCTATCTCTATCTATCGATCGATCGATCGATCGATAGATAGATAGATAGATAGATAGAGAATAGGCAGAGTCAGAGAGAAGCCTTTCAGCCACACCAGGAGACAGATGACAGATGTTGGAAGCCGGACAGAAACTTACCCGTAGGCCACAACCACGTGCCAATACACAGCTTAGTAGAAATAGGTTGATTTAAGAAATAAGAGCTAGATAGAAATATGCATAAGTTAATAGGCCAAGCAGTGTTTTAATTAATGCAGTTTCTGTGCACTTATTTCATGTCTGCACAGCCTGGAATGAAGAAATAGTTTCTGGCTACATAAATGTGTAGAAGGCAGCCTGATAACATGAACGTTTAGCAAAACAGCAGCAGTTCCTCACTCCCAGCCTTTACTTAGTCTTTTCCCTAAAACTTAGTCTCCCTTGACTTAGTCTTTTCTCCAGGTGTACAGTACTGGGTTTAGAATTCCTCTTGTGGAGCAAGCCTCAAGCATGATCAGAAAGTGACTGGTTACTTCCATAACTGTCATGCCACAATGGCACACTTTGCCTGGCAAGCTGGAGTTGTAGCACATAGGGGTCAGCACTGGATGAGATCATTAATGACTTTCTCCCCTGCCAGCTCTTTCTGGCATTATGAAAGCTAGACATAAGAGAGTTTTCTGGAAAATTCAAGGTTGATTTCTTCAAGACTTGCAACCCAAGTGTGCTGTCTTTAGTTACAGAGCATTAGTGCCTAATGCCAGTGGGCAGCTGCTGTGGAGCAATCTTTGTTTACTGTAAATACATGTTACTCTCATTGATTAATAAAGAGCTGACTGGCCTATAGCTGGTCAGGAAGAGATTGAGCAGGAGAGCCAGACTAGGAGGAGGCTGGGAAGGAGAAGGGCAGAGTCTCAGGAGTCAAAAGCCAGTCAGAGAGGACATAGGACACGTAGAAAATGAGGTAACAAACCTTGAGTCATATTGTAGATTTAGATAAGAATATGGCTTAATTTAAGTTGTAAGAACTAGTTAGTAACAAACGTAAGTTAATGACTGAGCTTTTGTAATTAATATTAAGTCTCTGTGTGGTTATCAGGCAGCCAAGAACAATAGGCTACTTTGTTTTGGGAGTCACTGGGAACTTATTGGCCAACAACTCACAGGTGCTGAATTTAAGTTAAAAAAATAACAAAGAAAATAAAAACAAACCCTGGGAACAGTGTTGCTTACATGTGAAAGGCAACTTTATTTAACTTCCTTTTTACAAATATATTTGTGATTATCTTATACAGCAGCAGCTCCTAAATGGTTTTACCATACATTCCTAGTTTTTATTGTCCCCCTTCTGGTCTTTCCCCAGTTCACTCGCTCCTTCCATGCTTGGTATTTCCATGTTCTTCTTCCATATTTCATCTATTTCTGTATCCACGTACTGTCTCCATTGGGAAATCACCTCCTTTCATGATTCCTTTATGTCCTTGTTAGACTTTACAGATACCCCCAACATAAACACAGAAATTCAAAGCTTCAAATTTGGGACTCATATACTGGAAAGACCACACAGTGTTTATCATCCTGAGCCTGTGTTACCTCAACTTAGTCTAATAATGTCTAGTTTCATCTATTTTTCTGCAAATCCCACAGTTTCGTTTTTCTTTTAGTGCTAATAGAATTGCATTGTGTAAATGTTCTAAGTTTCGTTATCCATTTTTCAACTGATGGTCGTTGATGCTGACTCAATTTCCTGGTTGTTGAAAGCAATCTGAGGAATAAGAAGGTCTTCAGCAAGCGTGGGAAGATGATGGCTTCCAGTGGAGTAAGATTGCCATGGCACCTGAGAGTTTTAAAAGATTTATTTGTGTGTGTGTGTGTGTGTGTGTGTGTGTGTGTGTGTATGATTTCTGTTTGTGTATGCAATGTGTGTGCAGGTGTCAGCGAAACTAGAAGGGAATGTTGGATTTCATGGTGCTGGAGTGACATGTAGTTGTGAGCCACCCAGCATGGGTCTTCTCCATCATATGAGACACTTCTATTGCCAGAAAATCTGATTTTTTTTAATGCAGACATTTAGAGCTGTAAATTCCCTCATAGTTTTTAATTTATCATTCATAACCCATGGATTCTGATGTATTCTCTTTGCATTTCACTTAATACTAGGAATTAAAATTTTCCTTCTTGATTCCATCAATAAATTTCCATGTGTCCATCCCATTATCCAGTGCTGTATTGCTAAACTTCATTGGGTTTTTGCATTTTCTATAGATCCTTTCATTGTTGATTTATATCTTTATTTTACTGTGGTCAGATAGTTATATCATTCCACTCTCCTATATTTGTTGGGACTTGCTTTCTGTGTCAAGATTTCTATTTTTAAAGAATGTTCTATGAGCTGATAAGAGGAATATATAACCTGGTACTGGGGCCATCACTGGCTCTTCCAAGTTTGTTCTTGGTTTAGAAAAAGAACTGTGTTTATTATCAATAAATTAAGGGAAAGCTTCAGGCTGACCTCACCCTCAACTGAGGACAATACAAAAGCAGCAAAATGATAAGAATTAATATACAAATTTCAGTAACAGCTCTCAATGTAATGGTCTCAATTCTGCAATCAAAAGTAACCGACAAGACGAATGACTTAAAAGGGACCTGTAATTATGCTGCCTATAAGAAACACAGATCTGTAAAAAAACATAGTGCACCTTAGATTGACAGGTTGGAAGAAAGGTACTCCAAGGAATTGGAACTAGGATATAAGCAGGTGAGGCTATTCTAATAGCTGACATACAGACTTCAAACCCAACCTAATCAGAACCACTCCATAGGGACCAAGAAAACAGATGTTGAAATTACAAACATACATAAGTGAAAGTTGGGTACTGTCAACTTCAGGAAATGCATGGACTATGGTTGTTAGAGTCCCAAGGTGCTCTGACTCTGATGTCCTTGAGTTCATCTGTGGTCCCTGTGTAACAGTGTTTGATTAGCTTCCCAATGACTGTCTCATTGTGTAACGGCTTTTATTTTTTTTGGCTCTATCACATTTTCCCTGTCAGGAAAGACTGTATATAGGATTCTGTACATATTAGAATGCTTCTCTGGCATAAGACATACTTTGAGCAAGATCTCCTGACCCCAACTTTTTTTAAATTTTTATTTATTTATTTATTTATTAAAAATTTCCACCTCCTCCCATCCTCCCATTTCCCTCCCACTCCCTCCCCTCCCCCTCCCCCTTTCTCTCTAGTCCTAAGAGAAGTCAGGGTGCCCTGCCCTGTGGGAAGTCCAAGGCCCTGCCTCCATCCAGGTCTAGGAAGGTGTGCATCCAAACAGATTAGGCTTCCAAAAAGCCAGTACATGCAGTAGAATCAAAATCCGGTGTCATTATCATTGACTTCTCAGTCCATCCTCATTTTCAGCCACATTCAGAGAGTCCAATTTGATCACATGTTCATTCAGTCCTATTCCAGTTGCCCTTGGTGAGCTCCCATTAGATCAGTCCCACTGTCTCTGTGGGTGGGTGCACCCCTCCTGGTCCTGACTTCCTTGTTCATGTTCTTCCTCCTTCTTCTCTTCATCTGGGCCTTGGGAGCTCAGTTCAGTGCTCCAATGTGGTTCTCTGTTTCTATCTCCGTCCAGAGAGATAAGAAGAAGTGATGGAGGAGGTTTATTTGTCTGTTGTGTTATTTTCATTGGTCAATAAAGAGACTGCCTTGGCCCCTTGATAGGACAGAAAATTAGGCAGGCAGAGTAAACAGAACAGAATGCTGGGAAGAGGGCAATGGGGCAGCAGCCATGGAGCCAGCCACCAGGTCAGACATGCTGAATCTTTTCCAATAAGCCACCACCTCGTGGTGCTACACAGATTATTAGAAATGGGTTAATATCAAGAGATAATGGGCCAGGCAGTGCTTAAATGAATACAATTTGTGTGTTGTTATTTCTGGGACTAAGCTAGCCATGCGGGAGCCGGGTGAGGCAAAAAGCAGGCCTGCCCGCAGCCCCTCACTACAAAGAAGGCTCTTTGCCAATGGCTTCTCAATCAGCCCCCCATTTCAGCCACATTCAGAGAGTCCGGATTGGTCGCATGCTCTTTCAGTCCCGGTCCAGCTAGATTTGGTCAGCTCCCATTAGAACAGGCACACTGTCTCTGTGGGTGGACCAACCCCTCACGGTCCAGACTTCCTTGCTCATCTTCTCCCTCCTTCTGTTCTTCAATTGGATCTTGGGAACTCAGTCTGTTGCTCTAATGAGGAACTTTGTCTCTATCTTCATCCTTTCCTTGACGAAGATTCTATGATATTCAAGATAATCATCAGTGTGTTAGCGTGGCAAGGCCAATTCAGGCACCCTCTACTCCACTGCCCAAGGACCTAGTTAGGG